GCACAGGATCCAGAGGGATTTGGGATGGGAACAGGCTCTGTGAGGGGTGGGATTGGGGGCTCAAGGTCTGTCCCTGACGGGCTCCAATATCCAGACATGGCAGTGACATCTCTCAGCATTTCAGGATCAAGCTTAAGGAGGCACAAAGGCAGCACCAGGAGAAGGATTCCCATCTCCCCCATTCCCATCTCCCCCCGGGGGTCCCATAGAGAGCTCCATCTGAAAGGGAAAGGCCACTTTCTGCAAGTATTAACATTAAGTTCCCATTCCCTGGAGCACTTGTCCGTGCTCAGAGGGAGGAGGGACACAAACCCAGGAAGGATCAGAGCGGGGTCTGCCCTACTTGAAATGCAAAACACTCCTCTGCCATTTCCAGGAGCCACAGGGACCAGCCCAGAGCCAAGGGACTGGCAGGGCTTGGCATTTCGGTGTTCCCTGCCCGCTCCCACTGCCTATTGTTCGGTCTCCACGGGGTCCTCAGGGCCTTTTTGGATGCCCGGGGGTTTGGGCTGGTCTCTTGTTCCCTTTGCTCTTTGCAGCTGGGGATTTGGAGGCCACTGAGTGTGTTTGTGCCGGGGTCAGCCCGGGTGAAATTCCAGCTGCTGCATCCCAGCAGGTGGGTCCCAAACCACAGAGGGACCTGGGGCGATGCTGGAGCTCCCTGAGGTGCCCAGATCCTTTGGGATGAATTCCCACAGCAGGGCAGGACCTGGAGCTCCCTGAGGCACCCGGAGCATCGTCCACATCGTCCCAGCTCCCAGCAAAGGGAGTTCCACGTGGCTCAGCTCAGCCCCAGCTCCCAGGTTTGGGGGGGATATTTTTGCAGCACTGAAGCCCAGCCCCAAAGCTTTATCCCCCCCTCCCTTCCTCTTGGCTCCAGGATTCCTGGGATGAGCCCATCCCCCCTCCTGTCCCCCCTCCTGCCTCCTCAGGGAGCTCTTCCAGCAGCTCAGCAAGAGAAAGGCTCGGCCTGGTGGGGTTTATATCATTTATATCATTCTTTATATCGTCGTTAAGAGTAGCAGGTATTGATGTACAATGCATCTGTCATCTTATTGTGCTTCCTATGAAAATGTGTGTACATAGTA